AGGAAAAACCAAGAAAAATGTGAAACAAAAACAGCTTTGTGAAACCACTTTTTGAAACTTGAAATTTTCAAATATCTACAAAGTTACAAAGCAAGAAGTTGCCAAACTTGCTGGTTTTGCTTAGCCTTACTGGGTAGTTACAAGTAACGTTTGAGAGAAAAGAACCTTTCTGCTATATGGCAGCCTGCAGTTAAATACAGGTTTCGGTGTTTTAGGGGGGAAGAGAAGAAGTGTGTATCAATTCCTTACAGAGAAAACATGTCCAATGTTGACACAAACTCATCACTGGGAATTGTCCCTGAAATTCACGTACAGGTACATGAATCATGTGTCAATTGTTTAAAAAAAAATACAGAAAAAAAAGAAACAACTGTCACAAAAGCAGCATACTTTATATACAGCCTTTCTAAATAAAATGTCTCATAACTGAGACTTTTTCCAGAATCTTGTATTCCTCTGTACACTGGCTGTTTTCCTTACACTGTTTTCCTCTGTTTTCAACACCCATTGTTAACATCAGTATCTTAAAGAAATGTTTTCCTTATTGCAGATTTTTTGACTGGCTCGTGGAAATAGCAAATTCCCTTTGACTCAGTTCACCTCTGAAATGTAGAGCAGGCTGTGTTCTTACAGTTAACAAACATCAGTTTTCCAGCAGCAGACTGTGCAGTTATTTCAGTTTTTGTAATTATAATGAGTGTGTGCCAACATATTTTCAAAGCTACGCATGTATGATAGTCACAGGATTTTGTTCTCACCCGGTTGTCTTCTGTACTTTCAAATGAACGTGAAATAAAATTACCTTTTAAAGCAAGCCTATCCTTTAATGATTCCCATCCATGAATGAAGGTCCCACAGTAACCCTCTGAAGGGCTTTCTAGTCTTTGCTAGCTTTTCTTCTGCTATTTATACCCACTGGATTTGCAGGGTAAGAAACTCGTTCGTTCCTTGCTTTGCTCCAACCATGAACTCAATGCTGCTTTTCTTTCTACTCTTTCTCATGATTTGTTAAAAGAAAAATAAGGCTCTGCTCACCTCCCATCTGTTTTCTGAACGTGTTGGTGGTGTCTGGGCTGTGTCCCTCTAGGATTTCTTCCTTCTGCACCATTCACGCGCAAGCAAGAAAGTTCTGTGATGAACTTTGCTGTCATGGATTAAAATACCTTTGAGGATGATGCATTTTGCCCTAAGAGCACACCATGCCATAGGGAGGCTTTGGAGAAAGCACTGTGGCTAGGGTGGAAATTCAAAGAACAGAGTCCCAGAAGCAGTGAGGTCCAAAGGTGTGACTGCAGAGTGGGTTTGTTCTAAGCCGTGCTGGTGCCAGCCTGTCTGAGCACACGGTGAGAGATGGCCTTCTGCAGCTGAGCGTGACCACAGTTTGTCTTGCTGCGAAATGTACAAAAACTGTTCTTGCTGTTTGTACGTGGCAGCAGCTGCCCGTGTCATTTCTTTTTACCATGAACTAAACCCAATTGTGTGGGGTTCTTTTGTGTTTTTTTTTTTCTTCCTGCTCTCTTCAAAATAGAGACAACGCACTTTTACATTGAGCACTGGAAGCATCAAGTAGTTATTAACCTGATAAAAACCTAATGAAATCTGGCTGGAATCACAGTAACATTAGATTTGATTTTGTTATGAAGTGTGCCAGTGGAGTGCATTAGGAGCAGGTCGCTGTGCAGAGCATGAAATGGCTGCAGGAAGGGATGGGGCAGATCAGCTCCTGGCTGGAGGGGTTCCGGGTCAGGGCTGGGAGGAAGCCGTAGCTCCGTGTTCTCTGGGTACAGGCTCTGCTTGTCAGATCCTGGTTGTGTTCTTTTCTTCATGTTGCCATCTGTATCCCAGTCAGCTCGTCCTTCTGAAGGGGAAACGTAAACTTCTGAAGTAGTGCTGGCCGATGCATCTAATGCTGCACTCAGTGCAAGCCTTCTTCAAACAGTGACAATTCCCAATTCATTGTGCATGCACAAAAGAAACAGGATGAAAGCTGTCTTTCATCTCTTTGGGTACAACAGAAAATTCTGGGCTGCTTAAAATTGAAGTTTGTCAGATGGTTTAAAATCAACAAGTGCATACATAGTTCAGTGCAGCATAAGCTGTCCCATGATTACACCTTCCTGTGGCCTGTGGCAAGAATAAATGTATCTGGGAGGATACGTGTAGCCATCAGTGACTGGGACAAGCATTTGAGTGATTATTTATACTGACAGGACGTACTCATCCCCTGTTATGTGATACTTAATCTTTTCATACACTAATTGATTTGTGTAGGTGTGTTCATCCCTTACGGAAGTGAAGCTTATGTGATTGTGCTCTTCCTGCTGCCTGCCTTCTCTGTGTTGCAGCTTTTGAGCCTCTCAACAAATGTTCCCAAATTTCATGTTCTGGCAGGCTCCTTGGAAATGGGCAGCTGCATCTAGGTGAAAAATGGCAACGTAATCTTAATGTAATTAAAGAAAGGTAAAAACAAAGCTAGTTATTAATGAAGACACAATTTCCTACTGCGTAGAAAAAGCTTGAGTAGGCATTCTCAAATCAGCTGGAGTATTTTCAACTTGTGGAAATACCTGAGTTGTAATGCCTTGAATGATATTTTGTTCATTAACTGATGATTTATAACATCATTTGGAAGCAGTCATTATATTCCCTTTTACTGGCACAGGGTTCAAAGTGCAGGGCAGTCACAGTGCTTGGTTGCAGTCATTACTTCGTGCCTGCCTGCCCACTCACATCCAGGTACTTTAACAGCCACATTCCCTTCTTTCAGAACCCTCAGTACTGTTCCCTACTGCAATAAAACAAAATGGAAATATTTTTATAATTGTTCAATATTGCAGTTTTCATTTTTATGTCTCCCTAGGCTGGTTTTTCGTGCTAAAAGTTTGTGCAGTTATCATGAAAAAATTGCTGCTCATACAGTAGTTTCTTGACTAATGGATTCTAGATTGTGTGCCTCATTGGTACATAAGCAATAAGATAAGATTCTTCAGCTTGATTGTTGTTGAACAGTAATTAGGAGCTTAATGGCAGTTGAGAGAACTAAGCTCTGTATAACATGGTTTCTTATCCTTAGAAATACTGGCAAGCTCTTGAAATGTGACTTGTGCTGACCAGTGAGACCTGCAGGCTGGGCTGTGTAAGTGCCAGTATGTGCATGTGGCAACTCAGATGGATTCAGGTGTGTGCAGGATGGTCATTTCTGATGGGATTAAGCTGATAGATTTTCTTTTTCCCTATGTTCTCAGTGAAAATGTTTGAATATTAATACGTTAATTTTACTGAGCGTATTTTGCAGGCTTAGAAAAAATAAGCTTTAACGTGTGCTTCTGCTGTATGTGCTTACTGTGTGGTTCCAAATGTAAATTAATCCTCACCTTCAGTAGTTGTGTTTGTTATGTGCAGTGCTCTTTCTCCAGGAAAACTTCAGTTCTGCAAATTCAGCCTCCTTCGGGCTGCCAAGAACAGCAGTGCTGGTCTGGATGCTTCATTCATCTGCTTTCTTAAAGCACAAAGCTTATGTAGCTTGGCAGAGCTCATCACAGGAACAGGCTTTAGAATTGTCCTTGAAAGTCTTGTAAATTGAGAAGATTTCTAAAATACTTCTCTTAAAAACATTTTCACCCTTGCAAGATTTAGATTTGTTCGCAGCTGGAATTTAGTGTAAAAGTCCTGAAGTCCACTGATAATGCAGTGTATTTGAGCAAGTTGGTAGTACTCTTTTTGGTGGTGTGGCTGACACCGCTATGTGCATCTGCAGCAAGTAAGAACTTTCCATACAGTCACTCTTGAAATACCTCTGTGGAAGTACAGTTTCACAGTAATCGCAGTACGCAGGCTTTGGCTTTGCACCGCAGCTTCAGAAACTTGTGTTACTCAAATGTGGCCTCCTTTCTCAAACTGTGTTTTGCACAGAATGTAGAGGTTTAGGCTGCTTGTGGTGATGCAGTTGGGAACACCTCGCGTGGAGTGTTGTGTCCTTCCGACGGAGCCGCTCAGCTAACCTGACTTTCCTTGTTGGCAATAGCACTGCATGCTGCAGATGCCCGGGTCGGTGCTGCTCACAGGTCCAGAGGCTGAGCAGAAAGTGGGCAGCAGATGGAGGTCAGATGGACACATTGGGTGCATGAGTGGTTTTGACCACAGCAGGCAGTGAGGAGTTGGCACAAGGAGGGGATGTGGCACAGAGGGCCTGCATTAGTGAGTCTGAGCAAGGATGTCGGGATACTTCGGAGTAATCTGTATCTGAACATAGCAGCATGCTATTTAATTTGTCTGTAGACGTCAAAGCTACGTGATGTGTATTGGCCCCATCTGCTTTTCCCCATCCTCGAAAACCAAATAGAGAATTGGGTGCATGAGTTCAAAGAATAGCAGGAATACCCGTTTGCTTTAGTGCCATATGCAGAGGGTGCTGGTAGGGTCAGGAGAGCAGACTGCCCTGAGAGGGAAGGCTGGGTAAGGGTGTCTCATCCTCTGCCAGAGGCAATGTTTCCTCTTCAGTGTTCTGGAATTACAGCCCCAGGCCATATCCTCAGTCTGACCAAATGGAGACAAAAGACTAGAGAAACAGGTTTCTCTAAGCTTACTTTTTAATTTCATAATTTCTTTCTTCTGTGCTTCTGGATTTGTTTGATAGCTTTTTTAGTTTTTCAGACTGCAATAACTTCTTACCCCAGGACTCAGGATATCAATAAAAGCAATATTTTAGACAGAAGAGTAAACACTGGTAACATAAGAATGTTGTTCTCACAGTTGATGGGCAAGTGAGAAGACAAGATCAGAAGATCTTGTTGGTCAGGACATGAGTGCTTACGGATCACGTTGGGTAAAGGCTAAGCCCTTAATGAACCACGTTTGGTACTTTAGAAAGGGAAGGAAACTAGAAAGACAACGACTGTGGCAGTGTTGTTTGCAGTGTAATGCATCTGCACATCAAAAAAAGAAAATGAAATCATTTCTGAGTGTTGGAGGATTGATGTGTTGACACTCTCTTTATCCAGGTTCAAGATCCAGCCCATATTATGGCTGGCACTGGATCCAAGTCAGGATTACCTGGTGGGCTGTATATGAAATCACAGCTTCAGATCACTGGTAAGTTGTTATTATGTATCTTTTCCAATCAAAAACATACAAGGAAAAATTTTCATTTGTTTGCTTGTCTCCCAGTAATTAAAGAGTAATTATAGTAGCATGTTGTGTTTTGGCAAGCTTTTAATAATGCAAAGTCCACGAGAAGTAGCAAAATAAAACTGACGGTGTAACAAAGTTGTGACTTGGCAGAAATATGTAGGATTTTATCACAATCTGTTTTGAAATTATACTTTTTTATGTAAGGAATGAAGAGATGAATAATTCCTTTTGAGTAGCATTAAGTCAGTTGTACAGAACAGTAGGAGAGAACTGGGTAACTTCCGTTTGAAATGTAACAACGTAATAAAACTGCTTTCTGTTGCTAACAGCTGGCACAGCACTGAATCTTAACAATTTCACAATCGTTTTTACGTCTTAAACTAAGTGAATTTGCACTGCTGTTTACTGCATTTGACTCTGTTAAATGTTTTCATTCGTGATGAGGGTGTTAGTGTAATTGAGGACTTGTAGATTGCATAGGACTGGATTTACGTGGCCGTGCTTTGCTTTTTGTAGTGCTGCACAACAGAACAACTGCTGAAACCAAACAGGTTTCTCTGCTCTCTGACTGACAAATTTTACTCAAGTATGAAAGCTAAAGCCTGAGAATGGAAGGTCTGTGGGTATATGCCTGTGTGTATTTAGAAGCATTAGGGCTAAACTTTGCACCCTCAAGGTGGGGATACGTGAAGAAGTTGTGCAAATGAAAGGAATTGTCATAAACAGATGGGAAAACTTCAGGCAAAACAGAAGAAGAGAAGTGAATAAATTGTGCTGCCCTCACTGTCACTTTGAGGACACAAACATGATCTTTCTCGCTGAAGTTTGAGACCTGAAGAAAAATCTCTTCTCTGCAGATTGATATTGGAGATGAGAATTGAAGAGGTTTCAAGGGCGGTGTGTCTTCCCATAGCCAAGGGAAACCTAGCTGAGGATTACAGGAGTGATGCCTGTGTGAGGTTTGCTGCGTTAAAGGCACATAAAAGGAAAGAATTGTTTCATCTTTAGGATGAAGACAATTATGATGTTCATTTCTTAATTTCTTTCTTGTTCAGCCACAGTCTGCAAAACTTTCCTTTGGTGCAGGCAGACTTTGCTTTCTCCTAGGAAGTTCAGTAAACAGCAGCCCCCATCTGTCTCCCCCTTCTCTCTCCATTCTACTGTTCTCAGTTGGCTTCAAATGAACTTTCAGGTTGTCTGGGTAAGTAAGAACCTCAAAAGTAGGCACAGGACTTCTGATTTGTGCTGAGTCAAATCAGATCTTGATGTCTTTGAGGCAGCTAGTGATGTTGAGGCATGAATTGCTGCAGTATCCAGGTACTGGAGGCATCAGGGGAAGGTAATTCTTGAAGATCAGTGCCAGCTAACGGAACTGATTTCAATGAGAGCTCATAAAGAGAGAGAGCTTCCCTTGGGAGCAGTTCAGATCAGTTTGTACTAAGCTACTTCTCTAAGTCTCTAAAGGAACATAGACTATAAAAGGAATATAGGTAGATTAGGCATATGGGCTTGAATTGATCATCTTTTTTAAATCATGTAGTGCAGCTTAAGTAGCGATGAAAATACAAGAGACCAGACTGACATTTGTAGCAACAGAGCAGGGTTCATTGGCCGTTGGTTGTGAGTACTGATCTGTAAGCTGAGTGCTGTCAAAGAATCCAAGAACTCTCCTTATCTAATAAACATTGGGGTAGGCACATGCAGAGCAAATCAAGACAATGCACTCGGTGTTTGGCAAGACAGGACTACTGTAGTTGATGTTGAATGTTTAAAAAAATGAAAATTTCAAGTTTATGTTGCTGTCCAGGTATTAATATAAAGAATATATTTGCTAGCATGAGAAAAGCTCTAGAGCTGCAAGTCCCGTCCAAGTTTTGCTGTAGAACAGTAGGTAGTTATTAGAGCTCCAAACTGCCCTCCTGTTAGATTTTGTGTCAGTTGGCTTTGATACAGAAAACTCAACAAAACTTTCCTTTTCTTAAACATCTTCTCATCACCAGCAGTGGCACTTGTCCAGGGTTCATTAGTGAGGAAGATGGATTGTGTTTCCAGCTTTATCAGAAGCAAGTATAAAAAACTGTGGGAACGATCCTGGCTGGGGACAGGGAGCAGGTTAAGTAGGCTGTAGGTGATATTTTCTGCTTTCAGCACTGAAATGCTTTTGGGGATCTAAAACTGATAATTATCAGCCATGGTGTCTGATGCAGTGGAAGAAGTACTGCTATGTTTGTAGACTTTTATGTGAGATGTAACGCTGGACAAAATAACCTGAAATGCAAACACATTTGTTTTCCATGTGTGCTTTCTCTCCTGAGCATTACTGTCAGCCATCAGCGATCTCATACTTGAATACTGAAGTACCCAGCTGAAAAATATTATTTGATGTTGAAATATTCAGTCATCGATTATAACTTCTCTCTTTCTTAACAGTTATTTCAGCAAAACTAAAAGAAAAAAATAAGTGGTTTGGACCAAGCCCTTATGTGGAAGTCTCAGTAGATGGACAGTCAAAGAAGACAGAAAAATGCAACAACACAAATAGTCCAAAGTGGAAACAGCATCTTACAGTGTATGTCTGATGGTTTTGTTTTCTAGTTTAATTAGTGCTGTGCAACTGACTGTGGATTTAAGGGTGGGTTGTGTTATTATTTTAGACGAGGCGTTCTGCATTGCACAGGATAGAGAGAATTTTTGAGGGCTAATATACTCCATTCCAACCTATGCATTTATAAAACCATTGCATTATGTCCCACAGAAAAGACATAGTGCTTGCAAGGAATTGTAGCAATGTCTGTAGTGTAAGAACTCAGCTCTAATCGTGTAAATAGTAGGAAAGTGAAGGTAATCTGGTGAAGCTGACAGTTCCATTCATGTTTTGATTGTCACAATTAAGGTTAGTTTTTTGTGGCTGAAAAGTGTAGTTTTGTGTGGCAGTGTCCTGCAGCGTGCTGTAGCACTGCTAGTTGGCTGTGTATAATCACTTCCCACTTCAGGTACAAGCACAAAATTGCTGTTGCATTTATAGTACAAAGTACAAAGCTAGCATTAGTTTCAAGAAGGAGCAGAGTTGGTGTTTGTGTTGTGAGATGACAGGAGGTACGAAGCACTGATATTAAAAAAAAGATCTGCAGCTTCCATTTATTTTAACTGTAATGTCATCAGGTGTTTGGTGGTGCTCTTCTTTCTGCTGTTGTCAGAATACTTCTACAAAGGAAAAAGAAAAGTCTAGGCTTTCAGGCTTTTCTTTTTACTGTGAGAGCTCCTATATTCTCCAGGGCTTTTCTGCTCACGTACGCCATACCACCAAAATGCCTTCCTGCAAAATTCCAAGCCACATTTAGAAATACAGCAGTTAGCATGGTTTGATTAAGCTTGTTTTGGAGATAGAGGGGAGACAGTAACTAACTGCTCTCTAAAAAGGATAATTGCATTGGCATATGTTTCTTCTTCAGTAAGGGGCTCTCCCAGTATGTAAGTGCTGACAGTTTGGGAGTGGAGGGCCTCACAGCACAAGGTAGAGTGCTGTCAGCTTCAGAATGTGGCCCTGCTGGTGGTTTCTCTAGGAGCAGACACTCACGGTCTCTGCCACCAGCAGACAAATGGAGCTGCCTGCGTGCTGGGCACAGATTCCTTATCAGCCAGAGGAGGCTTTTCACAGTGCCACAGTTTGTACTCTGCTTTTGAAAATAATTTTTAAGTGACAGTTGATGTACATTGCTCAGTTCACCCAAAACCTTTACACTAGTGTTTAACTTCTTCTTTTCAGAATTGTCACTCCTCTAAGTAAATTAACCTTTCGAGTCTGGAGCCATCAAACATTGAAGTCTGATGTCCTCCTGGGAAGTGCTGCCCTGGATATTCATGAGACTTTGAAATCAAACAGTATGAAACGTAAGTACAAGTCTGAGTGCAGTGCGTAATGCTGTGGTGGGCATTAAGTGTTCCTTTTGTTGCTACAGATTGCATTTCTGAGCATCCTCGCAATCTTTTGTTATCATCTTTATTTCCTTATACACAACCTGTCGTGGTGTCGATGGAAGCCTGATGTTTTTCACTTTGCTTTTATGTGCAGGAGTGAAAGTGTAATGAAAGAGTGGTTCCTTTTACATATCCTAAAAACAGATACATATCTGGTGCTAGAGGAGAAAGCGAGTGAATGTTGTTGATGTTCGAAGCAGTGTATGTTGTACCATTTAATGTGTCTTAGAACCAGTTAGCTTTGAGGCAGTATGTGCACTGCGGAGCTTCCAAGTGGATCATCACACCCATTATCAAATTGTCTTGCTATATACTGCATACTGATGTGCTCTCATCCTTGTTCTGACTTTGGCTTCCTGACTTTCAGATGGTGGGCACTCAAATTGCAGCATGTTGGTAGCAATGTAATACGTTTTTCTCCTGGCAGTCACTGTCCTGTTGTGATTGTAGCTGAAAATTATAACTCCACTGCTCTGTGTAACAGTGGGTGTCATGCTGTATGGTACTGGATACTGATTCAGGCATTTCAACCAAGAACTGGGATGTACCCACAAAGTACCTCTGACTTAGGGATGTGATACAGAATCCACATTCAAAATGCAAAACTACATGTTACTAGATAAATGTGCTATGTTTTACTCCAAGATGGACTTGGTAGCTGTTCTGAATGAAGAATGAGGTGAATTACATCTTCTGTCTATAGCTCGTCAAGGACAGGTATATTAATTGCTTAAGAAGTGTGGGCAGAAACCAGAGGCTGCATTTCTCCTATAAAGATACACCTTTCTTTAGGCAGCAAAAAGCTTGTGCTCTAGTTCTCCCTACTTTGTAGAAATAATAAGCTTGCTGACACGTGGGAATGATTAGCTGCACCACGCAAGGTGTAGGAAATTATGCAGAGTGCAAGCAGAAGTTGTGTATTTTTTCTTGATTGCTGTGATCTCTTTCATTATATACTAAGGTAAACCCTGACTTTCTTGTTCTTTTTCAGTTGATCAGGTAGTGGTAACACTGCATCTTCTTGGTGACAGAGAGCCAGCAGAAGTGGTAGGAGATTTGTCTGTCTGTCTAGATGGGATGCAGGTAGATCCTGAGCTCCTGACCAATGGGGATGCCTCAAGTACAAGAAGTAAGTGACTTTCAGCTTAAATGTACAATGTATATAATATCTGGTATACAAAGGTTTTGTTTTTTGTTTTTTTTTTTTTACTGAATGCTTGAATGCAGTCTTTTAGTAATGGTAACGAGTGGTTTATTTAACTTGGTGTTTGTAGAGACCAGAGCTTTTATGTGCTTTTATTTGCAGTGGAGTCATAATCAGCAAAGATTATCAGCATGACTGTAATGCAAATAAGATCAGCACCTTAATTTTCTGAACTTTGCTTGCTTTATCTAGGAATTACAAGCTACCATTGTGCCTTACTTTAACGAAGGCTTTTAGCTTCCCTCAATTTTCCTAAGCCTATAAGCAAAAAAGCAATATAAAATGGATAAATTTAGTCTCATAATAGTAAGCATTCTGGCTAGGAAACAGCTTTATATTGAATTTTTTTAGATATCTAAATGAAATGCTTACAGATTTTTGCTGGAGGGGGAGATCCACTCTTTTTTCATTTAATTGGTATCTTCAGTCTCAGATAACAAGGATAATTTTTAACTGAGAGTCTTCAGTAGGTGTGAATTGTGTAATTACGTTAAAATAGAAGTAAGGCATTGCAGTTCCTTTGGTTGAGGCAGACAGAGGTGCATTTCTGAGGGTGACGCAGTGTGCAGACTAGAACTGGATGGGAGGTGATTTCTCCAGGATCAAACAGGCTCTCTGTGGTGGAAACCAGCGGGACGATGAGTTGGCTTGTGTCAGAAAGGTGTTTTTGTTTTTTGAAGGACTAAATGAAGACAGTTTCTGATTGCATCCGAATATGTAACTGTGCTAAAAAGATTGATTGCATGCTCTGATGGAGTGTGATTTTGTTGTTTGTTTTGCTTTTTCTAAAGAAAGCCCAAGTACTGTGAGGCTTGTAGAGCAAGGCTGAGGTGAAAGTAACGTTTCCCTCAGGTGCAGTACTTGGAAGAAGTAAAAGCACAGTTGGAAACCATTTACTTAAATTAACCTACTGAGAGAAAAATGCTGGTAAGTAGGAAAAGTCATGCAGATAGTGGAACTGAATATGGTTTTGTGCTGCAGAGTGCAGGGCAAGTGTTAGAAAGCAGTTGAGCAGAGGATTCCAAGAGGATGAGATGTCTGAAGCAGATGAGAAAAGAGAGAGATCTTAAAAAGATTCAGTGTAACATGTTCTAGAGTGCAAGGGCACTGACTGGCCTGCGTTGTTGCCTGACTAGCCTTTGAAGTTAAGTTTGCGTTGTTGGAATTAGAATGAGTTCCTTGAACAGCAGGTCAGGGTAAGAGTTTACATCCCACTTCTTGGCTTACAGCTGCAGTTAGTTCCCATCAGAGGTGATAATTGATTTCCTTGTTAATGGCAGTTGTTTAATTCAATGGGATGAAGTATTTGCGCTTTGCACATGAGCGTTTCAGTGTTGCATGTTGCAAGTGCTGGCACAGAAGGCAAATATTTGCAAGGTAGCTGAATAAGCAGTTGAGAAACGTTTGCAAATCTAAGCTGAATTGCTATAATACTTTCTGGAGAGCAGCCAAATTTGGACCTGCTCCAATACCTTGATGCTACCTTGTGCATAGAGAAAGGGAATGGTCTGGGTCAGAGAGACCAGTTCTCAAGCAAACAGCTGCAGGGATTTGCTGGCCAGCCAGAGAGAGGATTTCATAGGAACTTGTTGTCCTACCTGCTCTGCCTGCCCTCAGAACAGGGTTGAGAGTATGAAAAGTGAGCTCCACTGGGAAAATGACTGCTTGGTACTGCTGACAGAGACAGAAGGGAGTTACTGAACTGTGTGCCTTTGGCAGTATTCGTGCAGTTGGGGAAGGTAGTGTTACATCTTCCATAAGGTGAAAATGTTACTGCTTTTGCACTTTGTGGCAGCAGTGCTTTAAGAAAACTCATACACGTGCATAGGTGTGAAACGTGTGCAGTCTTAAAAGAAGCCTGTAGATGAGCAGCATAGAAGTGTGCAGCCTTGGCATTTGAGAGAAATCTGGGCTTTAAAGGCTTGTGTTCTTTTGTGCTTGGAAGTGATTCCAAATGTTGCTCACAGTGCTGCTGTCCTTGTATTTCTGGTATTTAAGGTCCTACACAGAGTGACAGCTCCAAAGCAAGAAATGACGCTCGGTAAGACTTTTTCCCCTTGTTTTTTGCACTTAATGTTTGCATTTCTGAATGAGGGACTGCATGGTTTACAAACATGATGACTGAATAATTTGTGAAGTTCTGAGCACATCCTTAAAAAAATTATACTATTGTACATTCAAATATTTAACTGTCTAAAAGCAAGTTAATTGTAACAGGTTTATTTAACATAACTAGCAATAGGAACCTTTTTGCAGAATTAAGCAAAACTGCTTAGTACTAGCTCAGTATATTGTGAGAGAGTTGGCTTTGCATCCAGTAACTTACTATTTGCAGATTTTTCTTTATCTGCTTCATTTAAAATGTTGTAAAGCTGCATGGCTGTCAGTCTGGCATCAGAACAGGTGCTTTGATTTGGCTGAGTCCATCAGCACACGCGGTTGGCATCTTTTACAATTACTCCCAGGTACTGAGCCGTAGCTGGAAAGGGTGCATGGAAAGATTTAGGTTCAATTAATCTTCCCTGAGCAATTAAGTGTGTTGTTGTGAGGTGTATATGTATCCTACTGTCTCTGGTATGAGGACAGCACCTTGTGTTAACAGTGCTAATGTTGATGAGACCAGTAAGATTTTGGCTCCCACAGCAGCTTGCTTCATAAATTTCTGCCTTAAAAGGACTGAAATAAGCATGGTGTTGCTTTGGCTCTCATACATCAATCTACACTCCTAGTTCAACAGTTGTGAGCCCCTTGACATACATTATTCTTGGATTTATAGCTCTTGTGAAAATGCTTGAGCTGAGTGCAGGTTTTCAGTATCACGGGCAAATTCTGTTCTGTTTTGGGGACACGTGGTTGAATCTCTTAACTTGACTGCCCCTACTGTGAGGAACTATTTCAGGGAGCATAGCAGCAGTAGGCGTTTTTCTCAATGAAAGCTAGCGAGCTGCAGTTTAGAGGTGGTCTGAAAAGCACTTGTCTTACTCCAAAGTACAGAGTATTTCTCCTTCTGGTGTGTGCTGAGTGCAGCTTCCGTTCTCGAGACAAGGATACAAATAAAAATCCCCAAATAAAAAGATTTGAGATTTAATTTCCCGGTGATAAATCAGATTGCATAAAAATAAAAATAATCTTTAAGGAAGTCCCACTGGTGCATAAACACCACAGTGCATGCTTTTTACATTCCTGTTTCACAGCACGGAGGTATCAGAACTCTATTTTGCTTTGTTGAGAAGATACCGAAAGCTGACAGTTGCAGTGTTTGAAGATTGATTTGGGATTGTGTCCCATACAGCATAGTGGAATAAAAGTGACCGTATTTAACCTGCAGTGAGCACCAAGCCACTTCAATTAGTTTCCAGTTCTACGAGTATTTTAAGTATTTGTACAACATGTAGCACTCTCAGATGAGATCTGGAATAGCTGAGTTGATCTGTAAGCAAGCAGGAGAACTTAAACCTCACTTAACGGAGTAGTCTGGAGTCTTCCTACAGAAGTTTTATATAGTTCTGTTTCCTTTTTTTGCTCAGAAAAATGCTTCCATGCTTGGGTATGGAATGCCCAGTAATAGTAATATGAGCTTGTGTGGTTTTAGTACCACCTCACAGGCTTTTTGGTGCTCCTGCAGGATCCCTTTTGAGGATCATGTAAGTGCTGTGGAACATACTTAGCAGCACTTACTGCTGTGTGTATAATTACATTTCGTATGCACCATTGTCTTAAAATGCCTGATCTAAGTCCACAAAAGATAATACGTTTTACTTCTGACAGTAAAATTCAAACAGAAGCAGTACTTACTAGGGCCAAGGGAAAGTGAGGCTATAGTTCTTGCAGACTTCACATCCCCAGTGATTTGCACATCATGGTCATTTACTTCAGGGTTGTAGCACGGTGTAAATTGTCACATGTAACACACCTAGTCTGGGGCAGAGGTACATTTGACATGGATATTGAGGTCAGACGTGGGTGATTCTACTTGATCTCTTAGGTGTTGTGGTTTAACTAGGCCTACCTACTACCTACTGTGTGTTTATAAGAATGTAATTTTAAAGGCATTGGTCTGAAATGAAACCTGTGTTTTTATTGCTTATGGCCTCTGTATTTGACCTGCCAATCCACTAGGTAACTAAATGCTTTAGAGATAAAGGTGTAGGTGCATTTACCTCCGCTCAGTGGGGTACAAATGTATCAGACTAATACGCTGCTAGGTGTAACTGACTGGCACAGAGTGAATGAAGGCAGCTATTTCAAGTTAAGTGCTTGAAAAGTTGAGATGCTGCTTATTAATTCATAGCTCCTCTTCAAAATCTTAATGCTTAGTCCTAAGTTCTCTTAGCAATATCCAGAACTGAGCTTAGGGGGAGAATCTGTGTGTGTAGTTAATTTGTCTAAAATTTTCAAGCCGCCTGTTTGTTCTGAACATATGCTTACCATGTGGAGCCAATGCACACAGGCTGTTCTACAGTCTTAATCAACTTCCCATCTCATTAGAGACTAGTGGCATTCATGGGAGGAAAAGGTTGAGCAGCAAAGTGCAGAGGGCCTGAAGGCAGCTGTATTGAGTTGGGTAATGAAAAAGGAGATGTCCACAGCGGCTGTCAGTACATCTGCTTCACTCCGTTTTCATCTCGTGCGCCTCGGGTAAATTCTCAGTGTTCATTCAAACCCGTAGTTTTTTTTTTTTATAATTATCATGAATGTAAAAATCTTATCTAGCCGTAATTATTACATTCTCATTTCTTTTATAAAGCTTGTTCTCATCCATAGACTCTTAGTATAGTTCTCCTTTCTGTCTTTTCCTACAAAGGACTAACTCAAATGGCCTTGAAAGCTCTGAAGATGCTGCTTCAAATGAAAACAAGACTGTTAATGGCAGTGATTCTCCACTACTCACCAATGGAAGCTGCAAACCTTCTCGACCTCCCAGGCCTTCCAGACCACCTCCACCCACACCCCGCAGACCCCCATCAGCAGCTGGTGCGTATTCTAGGGCCAGAAATCCACTCAAAGCTGTGGATTCTCTGTACAGTCTGAAAATGAACATAACGTTTCCTGATGCATGTTTTTAACTACAATTTTTTTCATGGTAAATTCTTGGGTATATAACTTCTGTTTGAACAGTTTGCATTCAATATCACTGTTCCTCTTATGAGTAATTTCTTGTTTCCACGACTGATAAGTGATGATTGTAGTGATACTGCTAAATATGTTGGAGCTGGTGCCAAAAGAAGATGAGTGAGTGCTACTGTTGCATTCGGTTAATTTTAATGAGACCTGTGAACAAACCTGCTGAAGGACTTACAGAACTGTCTCAAGTAGATAATGCTGGGGCTTGGAAGATTAGTAATTTGTTTCTACAGTCCAGGTTAAATTATTTGAAACAGCAGCACTTCAAACATTGATTGCATGAAAACAGATTTGTTTTTTAGTCTGTCTTATAATTTAGAAACTCCGAAACTTGAAGACAATGCTGGGTGTTTTCAGGTTAACTCCTCCACGTGCATACACTACTGTGTGTTTTGGTGATCTCGTTGTCACAACTGATAAATGCTGAGGATGGATGGAAAAGTAGGCTGCAGTAATTATTTGAAAAGATAAAGGCAGTGTAGTTTAGTAATAAGAGTTGTGTATAGTTCTTAATACTGCCTACCAAATGGCCTGCATGGGGAAAAACATCTGAAAGCATTTAAAGAATGCATGTATTCTCCCTTCCACAGCCTTAATTTGCCCACACTGTGTCAAATCTCTTCTTGAAAATGTTGCGCATGCTGCACGTTTACTTTTGTGACTTACAGATACTGAAATAGGTTATCAATAAGGAGAGAAATACCAAGTAAAGTTTTTTTTTTTTCTTCTGACACATCTGGCGTCGTAGGAAGTGTGAATGGTTCTCCATCCACGTCCACAGAGAATGATGGGGCCAGTGCAGGTTCACTGGCAGGCACAGCTGCAAATACATCTTCAGAACCGAGCCCTGAGGGGGCAACAGCAGCAACAACAGCTCCTGCAACTGCTGCGCTCACCACTCCTCCAGTATCAAGACAAGTCCAGCCAGTAAATCCTCCAACTCAGGCACTAACTACAGTCAGTCAAGGTCCTCTTCCACCTGGGTATGAGCTTAATGAATTTTTCAGCTGACGTTTCTGTTTTCTTCTTTTAAGCATACCAAAATACACGTAACATCTATCTTTTGCTGCATAACAACAATTCCCAAAAGCTTTTAAAGTGAAGGTTTTCTAAACTGTTTGACCTAGTAGACTTTCAGGTGTGTGTGTGTGTGTGTGTGTATGGTTTAATCAAGAAAGGAATCAAATTTTAAGTAGTTTTGATGTTTGTTGTGAACTGCTAAGTCGGTGAAACAGAGGTTTTAAACAGTGAGACAACTTGCTGTCTTCAAATTAGAAAGAAGTCAAATGGTAAGAAACATATAAATAAGTAGAAGGAAAGTTACTGTTGCAGGACATAATCTGCTGTGTGGCTTTAAATTTCATAGTTCATACATTGCACCTCTTGAGAGCAATGTGGGCACAGTGAGGTATTTCATACCCGTGTGGAGTTTGTCAGATGATTGGTCCCTTGCCTCAAAGATATTGTTTAGATTCTGAACTTTGTCTTTAAAGAATAGAACTGTTTCTGTACTCTGAGTGAGGGAAAGCAAAAGCTTCCTAATGTGAGTGGTGTAATAGGTGAATTATTACCTGCTTTAATTTGCCTGCAGTTAAAGCAATAGGTGGGTGAGGTTTGGATTATTACCATGCTTACAGGATAACTGTGAAAGCAATTTTGAAAACATCAGTTGTTGCTTTACCATTTTTATTTCATTAGAAATGGTAAATTACTGCGCATTTCCCTCCATGATACATTTGATACAAATACTGGAGTAAGTCAGCGTTCCAAACGCTGCGTATTCAGAAAATGCAACTTCAGTGCCCTTATGCTGAACTGCTGATATGTGCTGTGTGCAACGTTTGCATAATTTGGAGATTCAAATTAAATGAGTATTAATCTAATAGGGGATTATGCTCCACTGATGATTCTGCTCAATGCATTACTGATCTGTTTGATATTGAATACAAAACATTGCTTGCTAAGGCAGCATGCACATGCATGAATTTTGGCTTTAGTTTATCACAACCTGAAGGTGGTTGTACAGAAAATTTAAAAATTGTTGTTCTAAATGCTTCAAGTGTTTTAGTAAGAGAAGCACTTTACAAAATGAAATGTTTCTCATCTTTTACTGTATCCTTCATGCTGATGAGCAGCTGGAGTAATTCCACCTCGAGATAGAAGTGATTAAGTGTCGTTTTATTTTCAGTTGGGAGCAAAGAGTGGACCAGCATGGTCGAGTATATTATGTAGATCATGTTGAAAAAAGAACAACGTGGGATCGGCCAGAGCCTCTTCCTCCAAGGTAAGCCATGTAAAGGCATCTGATTGCCTTAGATGTGCCTGGACTGGGTGTATCTAAAACTGACTCAGTTTACTGCAGCTGGAAAGCGCATTTGTACATTGCAACATGAACAAGCGCAAACAATTTATCCAGTTTGTTTCCGAAGAGCTCTACAGGGTGGAAAGGAGTTGAATGTCAAAGATAATGAAATGGAGATTTCTCGTCAAAAGAATAAGCGAGTGGATGTATGCTGATAAATGGGTGAAAACAGTGGGCACTCTTGACTGTGAAAGATAATCAAAACTACAGGAGGGTATTTTCTGATTTAGACAACTATTAGCCTGAGCATGAATGCCCTTGGTTACCTATTTATCCTGAGGTTATTGCTTACAGTCCTTTGGTCTTGTCTTAGGATTCCCAGCTGTTAAATTACTATGCTCTTGTAAAGAATCTTTAGTTTTTAGGTGTTTCCAGCTGTTAGAACATCCAGTGATGTTAGCAGGTGATATTCTTTCATTTGTTACTCATTTTTTTTTTTGTCCATACTGAAAGAAAAACACAATTGTTCTATTGCAATTCATTCAGGCTTAACTGATCCATGTGTTAGAGAATTACAAAGTAAAAGCACATGGGACAGTGAAGAGAATTAGATTTTAAAGAACAAATCAAACTGGCAGAGAGTAAAGGGAACCTAATTGTTGTATTCAATTATTATTATTTTCATTTTTTTAATTTTGAGAGAATTTGTTACTGTATTATTAAAACTTACTCAAAACCATAGTGGTTTTATTCAAATTTGGGGATTGGATTGGAACCAGATGGTCTTTAAGGTCCCTTCCAACCCAAGCCTTTCAAATGTGAAGTTTTGTAAATAGTGTTGATGTTTGGGGACTGAAATATTGAGGGAGGGTGGGGAGGGGAAATCCCCTCTCCCCAGCAAACAAGAATTTCTGTCCAAACAGATTGAACTTACTGAAAAGAGCATGAAGAAATCTTGTATTGTACCACTCAGCTATCTGAGTTTTTCTTGTCTTTATGAGAAGCCTGCAGATTATTGTCTTACAGATTGGCTGGGGTAAATGCAGTAGTAACAGTACATTATTGACAGTGTTTGGTGTAGCACTTGAAAGGTAGGTTTCAACCTTTCAGTGCTTAAACTGGAAGTGCAGGAATTAGAGTGAATCTGAGTTGGGAAAAACATAGAGGGGATTACATGTTATTTTAGCTCTTTACATAGCATTAGTGGAGAGTAAAAGATGAAAACCACATCTATTAATGAGCCTGTGCCTCAGGTCTGCTTCCAAATGTAATGGCTGTTTGCCTGTACGTGCTGCTGAACCATTACAACTGGCTGCTCTTGAGAACTCGCAGATCTAATTTTATTTTTAATTTTTTAAAGCTGGGAGCGACGAGTTGACAACATGGGGAGAATTTACTACGTTGACCACTTCACGAGAACAACAACGTGGCAGAGGCCAACGTTAGAGTCTGTCCGAAATTACGAACAGTGGCAGCTTCAGCGCAGTCAGCTTCAAGGAGCGATGCAGCAGTTCAATCAGAGGTTTATCTATGGGGTAAGAAACGCAGTGCCGACTGTAAAAGCTAAGAGAAGCATCTTTTCCGAGTTCTGAACCCATTATTCTCTCTTCTGCAGATTGAAGCTGGGTTTGTACGATTGTTTTGAGCCTGTTTGTGGGTGACTTCTTCTGGCAATGATTCCAGCCTTCATTACAGTTTATTCTTGAGATGTATCTTAGCTTTGAGTTTGTGGCATGGGATGAAGTAGTAAATGGTAACCTTGGCCCATGTCCTTGCAATGGCTGTAGACAGCGTGATGGTTTTTGCATATATATAATATATATTACAGCTGAATATATCTGATGTTCTTTTTAAAATTTATGTCTAATGTTGATAAAATTAGTGCTGTTTTATTTATATTGTGTCTTGCAATGGCTTAGCCAAAGACTGGGAAGGAAGGCAGGCTCACGGGACATGTTTCTACTCTGGGTGAAATGAAATGAATGTAATCAAGGCAGAGGAATTGAAGATAAACCTTCCAGAATTGCAAGTGTATTGCTTGCCTCTGAATAGCAGGAGTAATGCCTGTAACAGTAGGTGCAGTGCCTCTGAAGTAGGCTACAGAAACTGAAATGCTACTAGCCTGTCAAGAACAGAGCAGGTTCTGAGTGGTGGGGAAAAGAGTACTGTATGCAGGAATGAAGTGGCTTGCTTTCTGATTATTTGGGGTAATACTGTACTAATTTCCTTCTGCTTAGGCAGGGGCACTTCACAAAGGATAATTATTTTCTTGGCTCTGCAGTTCATGAAGCATGCCAAGGGCTGTAAAATTAGCTAACAGGAGAGCTTAGTACCAGGGAATAAGTGAGGCCAAAGAAAAGACCAATTTGTAATGAACTGCATGCTGTCTTTGCTTGCAGTTTCCACTTTTTTTTTTTTTTTTTTTTTTAAAGAAAAAAAAAATATTGGCATCTTTAGTTATATGTAAAATCAACAAAAATGCATATATAGTTCAATAATTTATGATGGCTGTGTTAGAACATCTGGAAAGCAAATGGATGGTAGCTGGCCATTATTAATGCACCATTTGTTTGTGTGACTTTCAGAACCAGGACTTTTCTTCCACTCAGAACAAAGAATTCGATCCCCTTGGCCCACTGCCACCTGGATGGGGTAAGGCTGATTTGAAATAGCGTTTTGTAAGGCAGTGTAATTAGACATTAAAGCATTAAAGATTTCTGCCAAGTTATTTTATCAGCTTTTCTAGGCTACTTTTGTTTAAATGAAAATCTAGATTATTTTTCCTTTCAAAATTAAATCCAATCAAGCGTTCTGTTAAAATGTCAAGTCCTGACAAGGATGTGCAGTTCTGAAGTGCTTTAGAAACTACAGAGTATTCTGTTTTCTCTCAGAAACTGTTGTGTCACAATAGCTTCTTTCACCTATCATACTGTCATCCTATTTTTCACCACTTTCATTAGGCAGGGTTTACCCCCTCTCTCGCCACCCTTGGTGTTTATTGCTCTGAAAAGCTTTTGTAATGACAGCTAATAATCACTCCTGGACTTGTCCCTCTCCCTGGGATAAATTTGTTTGGTTTTGTACTTCACAGGTTTAACAGTTTACAGTGAATGCAATTTTTTGTGCATGTGTATAAAAATGTAAAATTTAATTCCTGCTGTGACTGTGAAGCAGATGTGAGAACTCAAGTTTCATGATACACAGGCAGTGTTATCAGGGTTGTTTAATTTTAAAGCAAGTGACTGCCTGTCAGAGTTAGAGTTGGGATTTTGCTGTTTTGTTTTTCAAATGTAACTACTTAGATTTCTGTTCTCATGTAGATGCAACATCACGCCATAACATTGTTGCGCTTTGTTGCACTACATACGCAATATTTCAAAGTGTGTTTTTCAGACTGATGTTGCTTGGGAAGCCATGAAACTGCATTTCCATTTTGAGATGAACGCTGCTGCCAGTGCAGCTCCTGTAGACAAGTGTCTGCTTCCAGACTTCCCTTGTAAATTGGAGCTTTTTACCTATTGTAGTCAAACTTTGGCCTTTTTTTGTCATTTGTCTTCTACATTCTGCATGCCTCATAATTCCCTAAATAAAAATGGTGTAAAGAAATGCCAGATGATCCAGAAGACCAAATCCTTGCATTTATTGTAAACGGTTTAGAGTCATGGACATATATTTACCTGAGCAATAACCTTGGAAACCACGTTCACTTTCATTTCCTGTCTGTTAGATGAGTATGAAAGATGATACTGCTGTTCACAAACCTCTGTACTCTCTTGATTCTTTTATGTACCTCTGCAGCCTCTTTTGTCTTCATTGTCTGTATGGTTTGTGAAGCATGTAGCAAAAATCAAAGCAGCTGGGATTTCTTGTGGAGCAAACAGCTTCTCTTTTTGCTTGCTTCCAATTGTTTTTTTCTTAGAGCTAAAAAAAAACATGGTAAAGGATCTTAATAGAGAAAATCATCTTATCTATGTTTTAATTCTTATACATTTTTAATTTGGAAAAATACCTGAAAAAGCTTTTTAAGAAGTGCAAGAAGAAGGCCAGTGTGTGTAATGAAGGTGAATCTCTTGTGGTTAACTGTTTCCTTCCCACAAATGTTTCTGTTGTTACTGTGATGTCCAGACCCTATTAGCTATTAGCTGCACAGTTGTAGACAGCTGATCTTTTCATGGTAAAAATTGAGATGCTAAGAAATTCTGCATGAACACCTTAAGTGCAGCTTTTCACTGGGGATGGGTGATGATGCAGTTTCATATGATTATTAGCAGTTGGAATTATTTAGATAAACTGCTGTTTGTGAATAGCCTAGTAAGGCATAATGTCAATGAAAGTGAAAAGCTGTTGTGTCAAAGGAGGTATGGAGAAACTTGGACACAGGTGAGGCTGTGGCAGGCTCTGGTAGTTGGATTTATTTGTTTCATTTAATGTTTCAACAGTATGGTAACCTAGGTCTTGAAATTTGTTTTCCTTTTGTATATTTTTAGAAAAGAGAACCGACAGCAATGGCAGAGTGTATTTTGTCAATCACAACACACGTATCACGCAGTGGGAAGATCCTAGGAGTCAGGGGTAAGAAATCAATTGCAGCTTCTTGTAAATCTGAGGTGAAAATGTAACAAAGTGACAATAATGAGGGCTAGGTGATGCTGCTTGTGGCTCAAACATAGGCTGTCACAGAATCATAGAATGGCCGGAGTTGAAAGGGATCTTAAAGATCATCCAGTTCCAACCCCCTGCTGTGTGCAGGTCACCAACCAGCAGCCCAGGCTGCCCAGAGCCACATCCAGCCTGGCCTTGAATGCCTGCAGGGATGGGGCATCCACAGCCTCCTTGGGCAACCTGTTCCAGTGCCTCACCAGCCTGTGGGTGGAAAAACTTCCTCCTCATATCCAACCTAAACCTCCCCTGTCCCAATTTAAAACCATTCCCCCGTGTCCTATACATAGTTCTCAGACAGTGATTTTTAAAGGATACCACTGAAATGGAGATTGTCAAAAATATCACAGAGTAATAATAGAGTTAGCAGGAAAATCTTGGTCAGCAGCAATGAGTTAATTCCCCAGAACAGTTCCTACTATTTTTATATATTGTATGTATATTTGTATTGCTGCGGGAGAGAGAGAAGGATTTCATGCATCCTGTGATGTAGAAGATTCTGAGTCAAAATATTGTTTATCAAACAGACAATAGCAAAGAGATAGAGATGAAAACACAAACTCCAGGAACTGCAGCACTTCCTCCTTATCATTTTTTTAAATTAAAAAAAAAAATACTACGAAAGAGAAACAAAGAAAACTTGAGACACCACCACAAGTAATTGATTAGTGTTATTACTATTTAGTTTGGGGTCCAGTTTCTTTGTCTCTTGGAGGTAGGAAGTGAAGAGTGAAGGATGTTTCATCCCAGATTTTCTGAGTGAGATGAAAATTTCCACCAGGTGAAACAACTTCACCTCTCCCTTACACAAGAGGAAGAGAAGTGGAGGTGCTAATAGCTGTAGCCAGAGACGACGGCCTTTCTGTGCCAGGCACATCTGCAGCAGCTAACTGAATGGAAAACACTATTATTTCTAATAACCACCTAAATTTATAGCTTGAAACATGATCCTACAGTGTCTTTCCATGGGGGAAGGTCTCTGGGAACACTTTGGTGGATACTGCTGAAGATTTCCAAGTATTTCAAGATACACTTACATTGATATCAAACTTGAGTTGGAAGTTGTCAGAAAATTACACAAGAGCACTGTTTGTATTTCCTTTATGTTCTTTTATTTTTGTCATTCTGAAACACTCGAAGCTTTTGGCTACTGCAATTATATGTGAGGTAGCTAAAGCTATTTAATAAGGCAGTGTCAGTTTCAGAGTAAAAATGACAGTTTCTATTTGCTGTTATTCTAGATAATGCAACCGAAAGAGCTAAAAATTTATTTAAACAATCACTGTGGTCTGAGAGCTGACTTGAAAATTGGAGAGAACAGGACAGAAAAAATGGAAAGTTTCTCAGCCTGCACTTCTAGACGCACTAAAATTATTACTGTCTCCAGTCACTGGTTGGTTGCCTTAATTGTGTTAAGCTGCATGAAGTTCCCATGTGTTTTCTTGTACTCACAGTCAATTAAATGAGAAACCCTTACCTGAGGGTTGGGAAATGCGATTTACTGTGGATGGCATTCCGTATTTTGTGGATCACAATAGAAGAACCACTACATACATAGATCCCCGCACGGGCAAGTCTGCTCTGTAAGTGTTGACTACTAGCTTTTGAATGTGAAGTTCAACAGCCATCGGTTTTGAAAGTTTATTTCCTCTTTGTTTTGTGTACAGGAAGCTTTTCATGTAACCTTTTTCTTTTCTTTTTTTTTTTTTTAGTCCACTGATAACTCCTCCTGAAGAGGAGTGTTTTGAACACTTCAGAATTCCCCTTGCTAACTAGTAGATATGACATGAGGTTTATTGGTATTTCTAATGACCAGATCCCTTTCTTCCATTTACTAGTCTTTCTTTTTGTAAATACACTTTTTCTTTCTTTGCATTTTAGGAGATTAAGTGGAATTAAAACCAGAACTTAAGTACAAACTTAAATTAACCAAATGGTCAATGACATTCCATTCTTCTTATTACATTTCTAAATACAATTAATAGGTAGATACTGTTGAAAAAATACTGCGTTTACACTTTACTGTTTACAAAGGAGAGGTTGTTTTAGTTTAAAAATACAAAAAACCAACTTTCTCAAGTGAAAAGAATATCCAGCCAGAAAGCCAACTGAACCGTGTAGCTACATAGATAATAAATCAGCAGACTTTGTCTTAAATTACGGAAACACTCTTGAAATTCTTTCTTCTTGCTTTGGTTCCAGAGACAACGGGCCCCACATAGCCTATGTTCGGGATTTCAAGGCAAAGGTCCATTATTTCCGATTCTGGTGTCAGGTATGGATTTCTTTATTGGGAACATTTGTTTGCTTTTTTGTGTTCTGCTGACTTGCTGTGAATGAACCACTTATTCAGTGCTCTACAAATAAGATTAATCAAATCAAATTAATTAATTAATTAACCTACTTTAAGTGAATTTAAAAAGGGGAGAAAAAACACCAGGCCTGCGTAAACTGGTGGAAGTGGGAAGGCAGCTTTAAAACTTGGTATAGAAAACCTACGTTTATTTACAGTTTATTTTGCAAACTGCTGAATTTAAGAGTGCAGTTTTCCTTACGCTGTTAAGGGGATGTGTGAAAGCACAGTATTCTGAAATACGGTTAATACATGATGTAGTTTCTGCATGAATGCTTCTGAAAGAAGAGCAAGATGTCTGGCACAGAACATGTATGTCTAAGCTTGGAAGAATATCCTATGTTACAGATTGGAATGGCCTCATGTAGGAGCAAATTGCACTGTTAGTCTTGGTCCTTTAAATTCTGCAAACACCATAGGATTATGTAACTTGGTGCCTTGGAAAAAGTCTTTGTTTTAACTGGTTCAGTTTTCAAAAGTCCATGAATTATAGTTTGAAAAAGCAGAGTGGAGCCTAATTTTTCACCTTGCACAGAACAACCACAGAATGTTTTTTTTTTGTTTGAAATGTTGTGCTGGAAGGCCTGCTGATTTAGAGTATGTGTTTGATCTTAATGTTTTCCTGCGTTCTGGCAGAGTACATTTTGAAGCTGCTCAAAGCAGGATCAGAAGACCTGTGTACCTTGCTGTAGATCTCAGCTGTGGAAGCAATTGTTCTTTGAATAAATAGAAGTGAAAGTGTCTTGATTGCTGGCTGCTTATATGGATTAGTGACATCTACCTTTACCTCTTAAAGCAGTGTCTATAGTAAACTACAGTTAAAACAGTATTAGAAACATGAAGTGATTGTGTATCTCACCTCTGCAAAATGTCATTTCAGCAACTGGCAATGCCACAACACATAAAGATCACAGTGAGCAGAAAAACATTATTTGAAGACTCATTTCAACAGGTATTGTACTAAAACATATTAGTAGTGGGCATGAGAAGTTGAATTGAAGTAATCTGTTATCTGTGTGTCATTCTTAATGCCCTGACATCTTAATTATGTTATTTGAATAGAGACGAACAAAAACTAACAGCATGCAGCCTTGCTTGTATATCTAAAGATCATGCAAAAATGTGAAATTGTGTCTCCAAGTGTCACTGTGTCTGTGAAACAAATATAAATATATCTATATCTTATCTATCTGTTTATATATGTATATAAATTATTTATTTTTCCACTAAGTTCTTTAAAATCTTGTTTTGGGAAGAGTGCAGCTCCCCCTCCTCTGGAAGTTAGCGTGCTCTGCTGTGTTGGCACACTTATCCTGTGTTCCATAAGCACACTTTTGTACCAAAATACGTTAAGCTGAACTTGTCTCAGTGTTAGGGATCTTCAGAAGAATAATGAAGTGGTTGAAAGAAAACCAAAATGATTAATTGTATTTAAATTACTAGTAGCAAAATTTCACAATGCTTTGAGACTTAAACCACGCTTAAAATTTGTTTCTGTACAATATTTGGAAGTGCTTTGGAATTCTCCTTTTACTTTTTTAATGTTAATTGTGGCAATAATCGCTTCCGCTGCTTGTTAAATAGAAGCTGAGAGCAGCTGTTTTTCAGTCTGATAGAAACAAATTTGAGCATGCAGAAACAACATGAGAATCTGCTTGGTCAAATAATAAAGGGGGCTAGTAGCAGACAAAACAAGCCCTGGAACTGAAAATTGACTCCAAACTAATTTCTAAAATTGCACTTTGTCATTTTATAGTAATTGTAGAAGTAATTATGTTACTACTAGAAAGAAGCAAGAGAGAGGTAGTATGACCATGTACATGTCAACAAACCTTGGAATGTTTACAAAAACATGCTGCTTGATCAGTAGTTTAGATGATGTAACCACAAAGACCGAACTGTAGCTAATCATTTGTCAGTAGTAGTTATTTGTGTTGGAAATACAGAATTTGCTGTAATGATAACTACAGGCTAGTAGAGATTTTAAAATAATTTTTTATCTAAATTCTATGCCTGTCATTGCAAACAATTTTTATTCTAGGTGGTTTTTTTGTGTGTGTGTGTTTTCTCTTCACCACTTGTAACTTGGGTGCCCCTCAGGTACCATTCAATATTGTATTTTAAAGATCCTGAATGTATGTGCTTTGGCCCCGTATTATTTTTTGGCTGTTTTTTTTTGTCAGGTACTTATGTGCAGGCTGTTGGCCTAAGCATGCGTCTTTGATTTGCAAATTATTATTTTTCTTTCTTGTTAATTTGTGGAAATATGTTTGCTACTAACCCCTCAATGAAGGTTAGATGTCAGGACAAACTTTGTTACAGGAAGGGCTGTTAAGCAGTGGAATGGGCTCCCCAGGGAGGTGGTTGAGTCACCATCCCTGGATGCGTTTAAAACTGTTTGGATGTGGTGCTCAGGGCCATGATTTAGCAGAGGGCTGTTAGAGTTGGGTAGGATGGTTGGGTTGTGGTTGGACTCGATGATCTGTAAGGTCTTTTCCAACCTGAGCAATTCTGTGATTCTGCTATTTCATGAACTCATGTTTCGTTGAATGCTGCTTGGTGTAGTAAATAGTAATATGCCCAGCCAATGCTTATAGCTGTTTTCTTCACGTAAATGGATTGTTTTTCTTTTACTAAGATAATGAGCTTCAGCCCTCAGGATCTGCGGAGACGTTTGTGGGTTATTTTCCCTGGTGAAGAAGGCTTAGATTATGGAGGTGTTGCAAGGTAAGCTGAACTAAAATGGCAAATAATGGTTTTTCCTGCAAGCTTTTCTGAAGGCTTCTCTGAAGTAAATCCTTGGACTGCATTGCTTTCAGAATATTAGCAAAACTCATTCCTAATCTTTCCTTAGAATATCACTGCATGCCTTAAAACTGTTTAAGACTCTTTTCAGTTCACTTTAGGAATTGCTTTAATCTGTCTCAACAGATGCACAGTTTATTGGCTTTGTCATGATTGTTGATAACCACAGTAGAGGTTTACTGAAAATGGGTGGAAATCTACTTTCAAGTCAAACCTCTTACGTGAATGTAATGAGAAGAGCATAAATTAATTAGCATTGCCTAAAAGTTTACAGTTTAAGCCCATGATAGCATTTCAATTGCCTGTTTAAAATGAGGAGTCATTTTTCACACCACTGATGGTAGGATAACATTGTAACTTTGCTTGCTAAACCGTCATTTTTGTTAGTTTCAGTTCAGTTTAGCCATAGTTTCTGGGAAAGAAGTCAGCTTGACTACTTGTATTGGCAAGTTTCTAGGTCAACTTTCAGCTTATCAGTTTGTTCCGCTCATTTTTAATCTTTTGAAATGTACTTTTTGTTTGTGATTTCAGGGAATGGTTCTTTCTGTTATCACATGAAGTTTTGAACCCAATGTATTGCCTGTTTGAATATGCTGGAAAAGATAACTACTGCTTACAGATAAACCCAGCCTCCTACATTAATCCAGACCATCTGAAATACTTCCGTTTTATTGGAAGGTTCATTGCCATGGTATGTTCAAAAACAAAAGTTATCTCTGCAGTTTTTCCTTTAAATATTTTGTCATCAAATGAATAATTAAAAATGCATCTTTGAGCTAAAATTTTTACGAGGTGTTTGGGTATAACTACTATGAGTATAAATGAATCAAATATATTAGCAGCTGTAATATTCTGGGTTGCTCTAATATTGAGCTCTCAAATTTTGTTGGTTCACAGTACAGAATGTTGTCGTATTGAGTATTCAGTCATCCTTTGCATTATTTTGTCTGTTTTCATGTTCTTCAGGCTTTGTTCCATGGAAAATTCATTGACACTGGTTTCTCTCTGCCGTTCTATAAACGTATCTTAAACAAGCCAGTAGGACTCAAGGATTTAGAATCTGTTGACCCAGAGTTTTACAACTCTCTCATCTGGGTAAAGTGAGTTTGACTTGATTTTGTTCTTGAAATGGCAATAAAATGTTTATTTTTTCACTCATGCCAGAAAGGAAATGTAAATTTATTACTGAAAAATACCCAAGCCACCAGTGAGCAGCAGGGTATGTCAATTACAGAACAGTAATGGAACTTTTACCCTCATTTGAGATACACAAATAATTAGATATGCAAGACTTCATTGCATTTTTAGTTCACTGGATATTCTACACAGCATCTTGTGTTCCATTATTACCATTTTTAAATAAATGTAGCTAGACAGAAGCGGTACTCTTGCATGCTGTTACTAATAACACAAGTAAATTCCATTGAACCTGGAAATCAGTGAAAGAAATCAGCAAAAATCCTGTCAGTAGTGCTTTAAAATAGCTGGTTTAGTTAGAAAGCACATTGGGACTTACAGTGACTTGCAGTTAGTAAATGTAGCTTATTATTGGCTGTCACGTAATTCTTATGTCAGTCGTAGCTGCATTTTTTACTGGACAGTTAATATCAAGGATTTAAAGTTAATTCTTGTATATTTTCTAGCTGTTGTTGCTTTTTTGCTCCAAGGTGGATGATTTAAGCCCATTTCTACATCTAGCCTTCCATGTATGCATTGTCAGTCATTTGTACGCTCTACATTCGTATTCTTTTTAAGTCCTCTTCACTCCTTTGCAGATTTCCTCTCCAGAGAGCAGTAAGTAGAAAGGATCTGCAGTTTATAGACGAGAACTGTTTTGGAAATGTCACAAAAAATACCACTTAGTAATAATTTTAAACAGCATTTAGTTTTAAGGCATTGTAATTCGGTACTAATTCTATAAGAGCAAGATTTGAGGATTGTTATGCATCGTTTCTTCTAATAGCAGTGGTGATTTTCTTTTCCTGACAGTTAAAAGCAGGAATTGGGGGCTGAGGAGTAGAAGGGGCAAAAAGTCAGTTAAAACTTCTACTGCTATAATAATAAATAATAATTTTTTAAAAATCTGCAGAGTTAGGCTGGTTTATGTGTCTAAAGAGGTAAAACTTATTTCACTCCAGAAAGATGAAGCGTTTTTTAAAAAGCTTAGGAGATGAATGCATTTTTTAAAAGCAGAAACGTGACAGACAAAAAGTAGTGAATCTCTGGTGATGGATCTTGGGAGTGTTGTCGTAAGCAAGGAAGAAAGGGTGAGAGAGCTTTTGAGATATTTGCAAGTTGAAATAGGAGTTTTGGATCAGTTTTGAAGAAGTAGCCTTTTCTGTGCTGGGTAATGTGCTGTTAGAAGGTGTGTAAGTGAACGTTTCATTAGGAAACTTCAATAGTTGGTATTTGAGTAAAGATGCCGAGAAATTGAGACCTGAAAGGGAAAAAAAAGATGGAAGGCTTGATTCTTGTAATTAAAGAACCTCTAGTAGGTGTGTATTTCTTTCTTTATAAGAAGAAGACACCATTTGTTATCTGCAGCGTCTGATGCACGGACTCAGATGTGAATGATCCAAATCATTTCTTACAAGTTCTCACATCACTTCACAGGTTTTCTTTTTCTAGCTTTCCCATCCACCCCTACGACTTCCCCATCCACCTTTACATGCCAGCAGAGCATTCTACAAACACTCTTCAACCGTTCACTCAGGCACTTCTCCAGTCAGAGCCGTGAGATGTTCGTTCTTCTAGAGGTGTCCTTGGTCCTCATGCTGTTTATCTTGTTCCACAGCTGCTGCTCTAAACAGTTTTTGTTGAATTCCCACAGTTATCCTATGACTCACTGGGTTTTAGAAACCAAACAAATACAGCAGTGAGAGAAAGGCAAGCTACAGGAAAGAATTTTACACTAATTGCTCTTTAATCAAGGCGCATGGAACTTGTGAATAAATTCTAATAAGTACCACGTGTAACAAAATTTACCTTAAGAACAATGTCAATCCATTCCTGTTCTGTGGAAAGTCTAAGAGTGAAGGAGTGGTATTAACCTTGTGTGAACATAGCCACCTCTTTGCATTTGTCTGTGCAGTACAGGTGAGCTGGGCACTTGTTCAGCACTATCGTTTGCACATTTCAAAGCAGTGTTTTGGGTTTTTTTTAATAACATCTGATAGATAACTTGAAGGTCTTTTGGTGCAGAAGTGTGTTGTATTTATTCTCTGTTTTGATGCTTGTGTTACTGTAATGGATCAAAAGAGAGCACAGAGCCTTCTGCATATCAGTACTAAGCTACTTGTCAGTGGCAGTGAAGAGGACTTGTAGATATTACAGATTACTTTTTCCCCCTCCTCACCTTTACTTCAACGTGTGCAGCATTACCAGACAGCATTCAGGTGATAGTTTGTGTGAGCTTTCCAAGTACAAGAAGTTTGAGTATGTTTCCAAGTAGGACCAGCAGTCCTACCAGGAGAAGCTTACACAGGAGGTATAGGGAGCTAGGAAACTCAGAACTTGTCCAAAACAGCTTTTGCATTTCACTCTAAATGTTAGTTTCAAATTCCTGGTTACATACGCTTTTATTAATTTACACTTAGTATTTTGAGGGGGTTTCTTTTTGGCTAGTTTGGCTGTTTGGATATATATTTTTTTTTAACTTCTAGTTCATTGCCTCAGAAAAAAAAGCGATGAGGAAACTTAGGGCTGTAGCAAGAACCTTTCTGAAAGCTATCTCTAGCAAAAACACAAGCTATATATCAATTGCAGTGTCTGTACTGATACAGCAGTCTTCTAATCTGGAGTTCATGAAAGCTTTGCCCCTTTTTGAGTAAACACGGAAGTTTGTGAGCATTTCAGAGAGGAACCTTCAGACCTCTAAGCACTGTGCACTGAGCTCTACATGCAGAGGTCAGCAGCTGGACCTGCTTACCAGCACTGCTGAAGGAAATGACTGTAAGTGTGCAGTAAAAAAAAAAATCACAGCTGGCAGAGTGTGGATACCATGTTATTAATCACCAAAAAAGCAAATGATGCAAGGCCCCAGGAAATTTTGCAGTAACGTGGAATAACTTTCTGCTCGTTTTTCTCATTTCCACTGTTTCAGAAAATCTGCAGAATTACTTTGTTTGGAAAGTCCTTGAGAGTTCATCTAGTGAGGCCCCTCTGCTCAAGCCGAGTCAGTTAGAGCAGGTGTCTTTCATTTGAAAGGAAGAAGTAATTTTATTTTGCCATCCATCAGCTCTCCTGAGATTTCATATTGTATTTTGGAGAGATGAAATTGAGAAGCACCGTTGCATCACAGCACTAAATACGGTAAACACGGTGGTGTTTTCAGTATTGCTGTTTCTATGTTTATAGTTCAGGACACTTGCATTTTATGTTGGAAGTGTTCATCAAGTGGTGGTTTCACATCAGTTGTCAACAGAACACCACCACCCCGTGCTGTCACTGCCCCTCCTCAAAGGAAGAGGAGGGAGAGAAAATGTGGTTGGAAAATAAATGAATGAAATGCTCATAGGTTGAAACAAGGACAATTTAAAGGAAAAGGAGGAAAAAGAAAAACATCAAGCAAAGGCCATACAAGGGGAGAAAACAATTATTCTCTGCTCGTTATAGAATGGCCTGGGTTGGAAGGGACCTCAAAGTCCATCTGGTTCCAGCTCCACTGCTGCCAGCAGGGTTGCCAACCACTGGATCATCTTGTCCCCATCTAGCATGTCCTTGGACACCCCGAGGGATGGGAGATCCATCAGTAGTAAGCAGTGTTTGGCCACCCCTTGGAAAGCAGGACCTCAGTACATGCTGTGCCCCTTCCCCAGCTGTTTGTGCTGTGTGTGGCATCACCTGGTGTGCAGCATCCCTTCTGTCAGTGTAGATCAGTGCCCTGCTGATGGCCCTTCCCCCTCCTCTTGCCCACACCCAGCCTTGCTGGCTCAGGGGCTGCAGAGTTGATGCTGTGCCGGCACTGTTTGGCAGGAGCCAAAACGTGGCTGTGCTACCAGTGCTGCTCTAGCAGCAAGTGCAAAGCACAGCACCGTGTGGCTGCCGTGGGGACAGCAGCCTTGTCCCTGCCTGCCCCAGTACAGCACCCTGCGTATGTGCATCGCTGCTGGGTAGGAGCACTTACCAACATAGACGTTGCAATGTTGCACCTGTTATTCTGGCTACTGAACCATATAGAGAGAACAGAGATCCCAGCAGTGTTTGTTGAATGAAGGTTCTTCTACGAAGTCTCTAATGAGAAAATTCCTCTTTCTCAGGAATGCATTATTTTGTTAACTTAGGAGCTTGGGATGTTCTGATACGTTTACAAGATAGTCCCATAAATATACTGGAGCTGAAGATAATTCATTAAGCATTCTGAGTCTTTTTCTTCTTATCTGCTATTACTTGGCAAGGCAGCAGGTAATGAAACACAACAATGTCATTACTGAAAGGTTTTTGCATTCCATGGGCATTCCACTTAGAGGCAGTGGGTAGTTTGTCAGCCCAGTGACACATGAATTTAAGGATGCTATTGTACCTAGTGCACAGTTTGCTTATGCACATCAGTGGGGTGAATCTTACAGAACCACAGTTATTGTGTAACATTTCCTTAACTTGATTCTTGAGCTCTAAACAGTTAAGAAAAGTCCTTATATTCTTCATACACATCAATTCTACTGCGTGCACAGTCTGGACCTGGTTATTTATAATCACGTTTTCTTCCTTGCAGAGAGAACGATATTGAAGAATGTGGCTTGGAAATGTTTTTCTCAGTTGATAAAGAAATTCTGGGTGAAATCAAAAGCCATGATTTGAAGCCAAATGGTAGCAACATTCTCGTGACAGAAGAAAACAAAGAAGAATATATTAGGTAAGATTAAGTGAAGATTTTGAAATACTCTTCTCTCTCCTGTTTCTTTTATCTCAATCAAGAAAATACTGTCACTATGCAATATGAAGCATTATTGAAATTCTGTCTATGAATAATTACTGATGTTGGCAAAATGTGGCAATCGTTCAGATTCTGCATTTGGAAGGAAAATATTGGTGGAAATATTTAAAAAAATATATTACTATATATTACTTTTCCCAAAAGATTCAGTTTAGTGGAAGCTCCACTTGCTTTTTTTTTTCCCCAGGGATAATTTAGTTTAGCAGAACATCATGGCAACAAATGTGAATGGTAGTTCCCCATTGCACACATTATTATTCACATTTTGCCTTTGTAGACTGCTGATGTTCTCTCCAGCCATTTATGCTGTTGCTTGTTTTTAACCAAAGAACATTTTTGGATGCTTTTGTGGTAAACTCAAGTTTTTAAAAATGCATCGCTTCGATACTGGTTTCCATGTGAACTGCCCTTACAGTGCTGTTATGTCCTGGCATTTGGAACAAGGCAGCATTGTGAATAATGTGAAGTGTTGTACTGTCGTAAATGAGGAATTATGATATAGCAGCACCAGAAGGTTTTAAAGCAAGGAAAGGAGCCTACGAGTGATTACAGAAGAAAGCCATGAGCTCAGGTGGTCTGGAGAAAAACTATGAGGTGCCTTGTCTCAAAGGATCCCCTCCTTGTCTCAAAATATCCCCAGTGAGCAGCAGTGTACAAGCTCTGCTTTAAGGTGTGAACTTCAGCATCGTCTTACACAGAGGATCTGCTCAAAACAAAGAGGAAACAAGCAAGAAACCACTGCACACATGGCAGACATGAGATAAATTGAATCAGTAAAATTTTCCTCTTTCTTATTGATGTGTTCTGTGAAGGCTTTTTGTGGGAAAGGTTTGAGAGATGAGAGAGTAGGAATTGCTTTCATGAGTCGTCCAAGAGCATTTCACAGAAATTGTAACATTTGCAGAAGGAACATATTGGCATTTTGCAGTTGTGCAAAATACTGATTGGGATGGAGAGTAAGCAGTATCTGCAGAAGACCATTCTCTTCTAGTTTTGAGGAACCCAGGGAGAGCTCGGATTGCAGCCTAAGTAATATTCTTCTGCCATACTCTGGGTCCTGTGCTACGTTCCCCAGAGTTTCATCTCTCCTTTAGATTCCAGTTCTCCTGACAGGTTAGGCTTGAATTCAGCATAATATCTGCTTCTCCCTGGGTTCAGGTTCTTCGGGTCTCCTGCCTGCTTTTCACCTTTTTGTTAATGGAGAGTGGAGTTTCTACCACAGAGCAAAGTTTCATGATTAACAGAAACAAATATGGAACTTTCCAAATGGACATAGTCGTTTCTTGGTAAGCTAGCAGTCCTACTTATCTTCACCAGTACACCTGACCTAGATTTTACCTTGTCATGGATAATGACTGAGATTTCTGGGGACAATATTAGATGAATCTAGCTCTGCCTTTTTTTTCCTTCTCCAAATACCTAGGGACTGCTGTGCTCTCATTAATATCATCAGTGAGTAGATGCTGCCTCCTGTTTGAGCTTCAAATGCTTTCCGTAGCAGTGGTTGGAAACATAGGGTTTTAACTCAAAACTGTTGGCACAGAGTGAAGGCTGCAGGTGCAGTTGTACAGTGCTCTATCCCTGGAACTTCCCAGACTTTATGTAATTTTTCTTAACATCACTTACGGTTCATTTCAGAATAAACTAACAAAGATTAACTTGGGTTGGCATAGCCCATTGTAAATTATCCTCCTGTATCTTCTACAGGCTGGTAGCAGAATGGAGACTTTCCCGAGGTGTTGAGGAACAGACACAAGCTTTTTTTGAAGGCTTCAATGAAATTCTGCCACAGCAGTATCTGCAGTATTTCGATGCTAAGGAACTGGAGGTAAAGGATTCTTTGACTATTGCCAGATCCAGGCTGTGACATGTAGTACTTAAATTTCAGTCAGTGTCTGAAGAACAGAGTTCGTGAAGGCTGACAGTTCTGTTTTGAGAATGTGTGAGAGAAGCCTCACGTGTTGGTGAGTGTTTGGTGAGTGTTTGGTGAGTGTGTTCTTCTTCACTTTCTTCTTCACAACCGACACGTTTCTAGCGCAGAGATTCTGCCAGTATAAACTTTTTGACTGATTGCTTTTGAAATCCTTGACAGCGAGTTTTGCTCGTGTTTAAGGAATGAGTAATTTGAAAGAAAGGGAGGTAAAAAGCCAATATCAGTGGATGATCACATTACTGCGTGGACCAGGTTTTAGCTACTTTTGGTCTCTCAAAATTATACTCTGAAGCAAAACATCATTTCTGCACGGAATTGTATGGTTAGGCAGTGATGAAGTATACATTCCTGGCTTGAATGTCTAAATACAAACATTTTCACAAATGGCTTTTCTATTCTGTGCTCTCTCCAAATTCTGTTCGTGAGTGGTTGTTATTATTTGCTGTGGAAGTTGTGAAGTTTACAATTAAAAATGAGAACGCTGTGATTGTAGGTGCTTTGAAGTACTATAGAGTTTGAGTACAGTACTCTGCTGTAGAAGCAAAGCAGTAGCTTGTAGTTTCATGTTTTTATCCTTTTTCTCCCCTCAAGGTGCTCCTGTGTGGAATGCAGGAAATTGATTTAAACGACTGGCAGAGGCATACCATCTACAGGCATTATACCAGAACCAGCAGACAGATACTGTGGTTCTGGCAGGTTTGTAGACTGCTTTTTTCCTCAGAAGAGCACAGCAACAGCTTAGTGAGCAACAGTCAGAATTACTCAACAAATTTGTAGCGTGTAAATATAAATTATTGCTGCTAATCCAGCTATTCTAGGGGTGATGATGAAGTGAAAATGTAAATAATAAATTTTACATCAATGTTAATTATTATTTTTCAGTTTGTAAAAGAAATAGATAACGAAAAGAGAATGAGACTTCTACAGTTCGTTACTGGAACATGCAGATTACCAGTGGGAGGATTTGCTGACCTCATGGGTAACAAGCCCTCTTTAATGCATTTTGTACTTCTATTAATTCCTTTCTTTAATAAGGACCAACCTGTATATGTAAGGATATTTTTTATGAATTTATATTGACTCTTCTTCCTAAGTCTTGTGTACTGCTAGAGCTGTGACAGAAAAAGGGACGGGGGAGTGTTAACGCCTTCCATCAGTGATTTGACAGATGGTTTGGGACGTGGTCCTGGTAGGACAGCCTGCTCTGGGTATCCCTGCCTGATCAGAGTGGAAGGACCAGGAAAAGTCCAGAGATTCCTTCCAGTACCAAAGCAATTATGTGATTCAGTGATTGAGTTTCTTTCAGAACCACTTCATATTTCTGCATTTTTCTACGTGGGTTTCTTCAGAGAGATGTAGGGAAAGGCAGATGTCTTTGGTCTCTGCAAGCAGTTAAAATCTTGCTTTCTCTTCAAGCCTTTCACACTCAGTTATCGTGTATTACTACTGATACAGGTAGGCAGCTAGACCTGAGACTTAATTATTTGATTTTTTTTACAGGGAGCAATGGACCCCAAAAATTTTGTATTGAGAAAGTTGGGAAGGAAAACTGGTTACCTAGAAGTCACACCTGGTAAGTACATTGGATAAAATTCTGTTATGGTTCTGTTTTTACTGATGACAATCTACTTTGAGATTTTAGAAAGTGGGTAATATATGAAAGTGGCTGAGATTGTGTGAAAGCAAAACACTGGGTTATGCCAGTAAGCTTTGTTGAGTAATAGTTGAACTTCTGAAAAACAGTTTTGTTGTGGAGCTGATTCCATTGTGAATGCCATGGATTTGCACACTACTGAAAAGAAAAAATGTAGTAAGTAGCACTTTTTTCCCAGGAGTTTGGGATTGATCTATCTTGGCACTGAAGACAAATAGGCACACTCGTGCTCCCTCTTCGCTAGAGAAATTGCAGCTTCTGCTCAGTGTCTCAGTTACACTGGTGCTTTGTGAAAAAGCTCAAATTTTAAATTTCAAATACAAAAGAGAGATGAAGTGAGGCTTCTTACTAAGTGCATCACCATTTCTGGAAAATTATTGTTAGAGTGCTTGTGCTTTAACTCTACTTTCACAGATAAATGCACATGAAGGTACAGCTGTGTTAGAGGGTATAAATCCAGTTATCCCTCTAAACAGGAAAGTTGATATGCCTGTGTTCCTAATGGCTTTTTGGTGGTTTAAATAATTCCACAATAATTAAGGTTTTCCTTTGTTTTCAGTTTCAATCGCCTAGACCTTCCACCCTATAAGAATTACGAGCAGTTGAAGGAGAAGCTGTTATTTGCAATTGAAGAAACAGAAGGATTTGGACAGGAATAGCTGTGATTTGCACCTTGAAGAATGTGAACTCCACACGATGTTCTTCTTCACTTCTTCTGCTTGTTGCACACTTCATTGTAAAGTAGACTTGGCTTGGATTTATTTAACAACACTAGTGTGTAAGTCAATGGATGTTATCCTGAGGTTTTATCCACATTAACTCTGGATTTCTACTGAGCACTTTCAGAAATCAAAAGAGCGATCAGATATGGCTACAAAGGAGTTATGACCCAAGTAGAGATTTAATACAGCTTTGGGCTCTGCTTTGTTTTACCTTTCATTACTTAGAATGTGTCCTTAATGACTGACAGGTTTTTTAAAATAGTTTTGTCTTTCCTTTTTAGTAGCATATTTTGCTACTGATGTACTGGGAAGTTCATTAGTAGCTGCAATGCTGCAGCAACATCATAACCTCTTTACAGCAGTGTTATTAGAGCCGACTTGTGACCGTCCTCTGCCTACTGTGAGCAAATTCATCGCTTAAGCTATTTTTTTAACTCAAGTGTGGCTGGACTGTTTTTCCTTGCCCGGAGTCTGCTCACATGCCAGTGGGACTCAGGCTGCTGTTAAGGGGATGTCAAACTGTGGCACAAATCCAGGGCGTAGCTTTGTTTTGTTTTTCTCACAGTCTTGCGAATTTCAGCAAAATAAACGTCTGCCCAAAGTTGCTGGAACGTTTGTTTGTGCCCTCCGAAGAGTTCTGATCTTTTTCTGTGTAACACATCTAACTTCTACAACTGTGTTAACGCTGTGGTTCTTCCCTTGTTTTGCAAAAGACGAGACCGCCTGGGATTGCACTGATTCAATGTAGATTCCCATTTGCAGACTGATGTTTCTTGTGGGAAGTGTTAATGGACATTATACTCAGTGTTATTCTTCCATGTTGCAGTCAGTTTTCTCTGAAGACTTTGTTGGTTTCTCAGGAAGAGGTACAAAATAGCTGGATTTTAAAAGTGATAATACTTATCATTTTTGGTGAGGAACTGGTAATGCCACATTAGCTAAGATCAGAAGACTTGGAAGTTTATACACGGATTCCAGACTTTTGACATGTTGGAGCATCAGAAAACAGTTCTATAAAGATTAGAACAAGTTCTTGGGGAAGATTTCTATGCTAGGTCACCCTAAGCTGCTCACACAGCTAGTAACTTTTGTAATAAGTCCTTACTGGATTTATAGCATCTTTTGCTTCCTTTTAGAATCTGTTAATACTCAGTTCTCTTCTGGTTTACAGTGACATTTTATTGCTCCTTTAGACTGAATGCACTTTTCAGGTATGGTCAGCTTCTTCCTTATCTGAAGGGAGGAAGGGAAACTTCTGTGAGTCGATGTGGCTGCTAGCCGTAGTCAGAAACGTGGCACTTGAAGTAGCACAGGTTAAAGCATAACCGTAGCTCAGAGCACTGGGACAGCAGCAGCTGTTCTGAAGAGGCTTCTTATGCTGGAGCTGAACCAGGACAATGGGAAACTAGAACCGAACCTCCAGTCTTGAAGAGAGCATTTCCTTCCTTCTGTCTGAACTGCCAGAGGGAAAATCTGATTCAGGCCTTTTAAGAACCAAGGCATTACAGTTTTAACTGACTTTCTGAAAGAGTTTTTCAAGTTGAGGTGATACATGCTCACTGGAAAGAAGAATAATAAGACCTTAGAGAAAATGCCTCCTTTTGTCATGTGTATTCTAGCAAGAGCAATGGGAAAGAGTTTCTGATGATACAGGGATTATCCTCTTTCACCTTTTCACTGGCGGTGAAAGCTAGCCTTGCTCCACAGGGAGGCCTTCCTCCACTAGGAGGAAAATCTGCCAATTTCAAGACGTTTGATGGCTATTTTACCGTATACAGCTCACAAGGAGAAGAAAAAAGCCTTATAAATATTCTGTTTATGTTAATTCTTACAGTGAAATCTAGTTATCTAACATATTTACAAGAGAGATTGAATTAAACAGGATAATGCAAAATTAAGCTACGAAACATAGTTTGTGTTCTGCGTAATGATTTATGATTCATGTAGGGAAGCTAGAAATGTTGGTAATGTATAAATATCACCCAAAAGGCTTTCAGCCCTATATTTTTAAAATAAAAAATAGTTATAACTGAAATAGCCTTAGCCCTAGTTCTATAGGGTGTGGCTGTTTAATATTTTTATGGTTGAAATGTTTAGTTCAGGAAAAAGGTAAATGCTTGTATATATTTTTGCAGTCTCGGATTCCACTTGCTCCATTTTTTCTTTCTTTAATTTAAGTGGCATGTTTGTGTCTTTCCTGCTGTATTAGGATGGGGAGAGGGGGCTGGATATCCCAAGCACCAGAAATGATTTTAGAATACTGCAAACAAAGAATCAGCTGGGAGAAAAAGTCTGTGAAACATTGTATTTGGCCAATAATTAAAGTAAGCTAGTACTAGCTTGATGAATTGGCAATGTTCTTCAAGTCTGAGCTAAAGTTTACTTAAACCTTTTACTTTGTAAGCTAACAAGCCTGTTAATTTTTTATAGCGTGTTCTGTAGAAATAAAAAGTTGTCAATATGAACCAGTGGTGCACTTTTCTGTTCTTTATGGGGATGTGGTGGAAACATCTCATGGATGACCCACAGCATCTGCTATCCCACATAACATTGGGCTTCCAGCAGAGGTGAATGAATTTGTCTCCCACTGCTCCTCCCACCACTGCTTGAGCAGCCTGAGCTGTGTGAATTGATACTGCATAACAAATGCGTGCTCATATATAGCTGCCAATTAATCCTAATTTTCAAGCATTAAAATAACTTCTATTTAGAATTTTGCCTTACGAGAATGACATGAAAAAATGAACGGAATGCTGAGCTGCTGATCTAAAGTAACAAAGCCTTATTGCTCCAGTAGCTCAGGAAGCATTTGTGTATGAAACTGCGCAGTAAATGCGCCGTGTCTTCATCTGATCTAGCACTGAAGCTTGTATTTTAATGCATTTGTTTGTGTTCCAGAAAAAGAAAAAAAACTCTGAACAAAAAAACCTGTTTAATTTTTCTTGTTTGCGTTATCACTACCTGCTGCACTGAATTTGTGATTTCAACTCTTTGTTATATTGGTATCTCCAGCCCCCTTTCTTGCGGGTGTCTTTTTAATTTTCTTCAAGAATCATTGTCTGTGTATATATGCTCTAGTGAACTAGGACATAAATGGGATCAGCAGCACTGGATTGTAAAATACTGTACTGAAATTCATTGTCGAAATTTCCTTGTATTGTAATTTCAAATACTCAGGTAACTGTAACAGTATCTCAGTAAGTCAAATACTTTTATAAAACGACTTAAAGAGATGGTAGTCCTGTTGTTGTTCTTCTGTGTTACGAAGCAGCAGCGTAGAAATGAATGATTTAGCTGCTCCTGGGGCTTGGAAGTGGGCTGGGATGGCACGTTTTCAGATTTTGCCTCATGGGGACGTGAGTGGGCGTTGGGCCCGAGCCCACTGCTGTTTGTCACAGCACAGGGGCTGCGGGGGACGCCGGCAGCGCAGAGCAGGGAAAGCCAGGCTGTGCGCTGGCATGAAATCTTCCCTCTGCACAAATGTAGCTGCTGAGGTTTTCCCGGTTTTCCCCCAGGTCTTTGTGCACTTGGATAATAAGGTTCTGCAGCAAAAGCAGCTGGGCACTCCTGATACTTGGGGCTCAGGAAAGGGCCAGAAGAAGAGGGGTGGCCAGCAGGGACAGGGAGGTGATCGTCCCCCTCCCCTCTGCTCTTGTGAGGCCCCATCTGCAGTGCTGCGTCCAGGTGTGGAGCCCCAGTACGAGAAAGACAGAGAGGAGAGCCACAGAGATGAGCAGGGGACTGGAGCAGCTCCCTACAGCTCCCTCAGCCTGTCTTTGGGCTTGTTCAGCCTGGAGAAAAGAAGGCTGCGGGGTGACCTCATTGCAGCCTTCAGTACCTAAAGGGAACTTACAAACAGGAGGGGAATCTTTGAAAGGGTAGATAACTGCAGGACAAGGGGAAATGGTTTCAAGTTGAGGGAGGGAAGATTGAGGTTGGATGTCAGGGGGAAATTCTTTACTATGAGAGTGTTGAGGTGCTGGAACAGCTGCCCAGAGAGGCTGTGGATGCCCCGTCCATCCCTGGAGGTGTTCAAGGCCGGGTTGGATGGGGCCCTGGGCAGCCTGGGCTGCTGTGAAATGGGGAGGTTGGTGGCCCTGCGTGTGGCAGGGGGCTGGAGCTTTGTGATCCTTGAGGTCCCTGCCAATCCTGGCCATTCTGTGATTCTTGAGTGAAGGGCAAACCAAATCTGAGTCTGGTAAGAGCACAAAACAATGAAATGCAGCACAATTTATTTATTGCCTGCATAGATGATCTTCTTGATGCAACTCCAGAGCTGGATAAAGAGCGTGGAGAGAAAGGGAAAGGAGGGGAGGAGAGGGCAAGGGAGGGGAAGGAAGGAAGAAAGGGAAGGAAAAGGGAACTGTGAAGGGGAAGAGAAGGAAGAGAAAAGGAAAGGAAAAGCCAAGAGAAGAAAGGAATAGAAAGGAAAAGAAAGGAGAAGGAAAGAGAAGAGAAAGAAGGGAAAGGAAAAAGTGGAGGAAGGAGAAGGAGAGAAGGAGGAGGAGAAAAGTCGCACGGCTCCGGCGCCGTCCGAGAGGAATCCGGCCGCCGCCCCACTCCACCCTCAGGCCCCGGCCGCCCGCAGGCCGCCCTCAGCAACGTGACGCCGCAGGCGGTTGGTAGGGCCCGGGACGGAAGTGCTTCCTGCCGGCGGAGAGCACTTCCGGGGCAGCGCGGCGCGGGAGCGGTGAGCGGGGCTGGCAGGAGCGGCTCCGTGCCGGGAACCGGGTCGGGCCTCGGCGCGGGGCATCGAGGGGCTGTCGGGGGAGGAGCTCGAGGCGCCGCCGGCAGCCAGAGGCGGGTCCCGGCTCGCGGCTTTGCGGGCCGCGCGGCCTCGCAAGAGCTGCGGGTGCCGGAGCGCAGCCCGGGGCGAACGGGGCGGCTCCCGGGCGGCGGCAGCGCCGCGCTCCGTCGCGCGGTGGGAGCCGTCGCGCTGCGATCCGATGCCGTCGCTCTTCGTTTGGCCGTGGCGGGGAAGCCGGGGTCTCGCTCGCTCTCGCTGAGCGTCGTTTGCGTGGCGGCGGTACTTGGAGATGGCGGCGGGGAAGCGCGGGGCTCCGTCCGGATGGCGAGTTTGGCTTTTGGCCTCGCTCGGTGGAGTTTTGCTTTCGGCCCGGAGTGCGCCGGCAGGAGGCTGTGGATGGCGGGGCCTGATGGTGCGGCAAGGATGGCGACGGGGTCGTGTGGCTGCGGCGTCGGCCGGCCGGAAAAGCCTGGCTGGAGGCTGATTCCTTTTCTGACTGCGTTTTCTGATGCGTTGTTGTGCGTTGGTGTTTCAGGTGTGTGAATGAGGACTCCCCGCTGGAATTTGTGCCGAGCAAAGCTGGACGAGGAGTGGATCCACGCGCCTGGTGCTCTGAGTGGGGGAGGAGCGGGCACGGCTGAAGGTTTGTCCCTGGCTCCGGATGTCAGTGAGCGGGACGAGTGCGGGCTGAAGTTCTGTGTGATTCTGTTTGTTGCTTGGGAAGGGCTGCCCTGAGAGATTGGTGGGAGGGAGGGCGGGCGAGGGAGATGTGAAAGCGGCGAGCAGTCAGGAGCGCGTGGCGTCTCTGCCCGCTTTGGTGGCGCTGTTCGTAGTCTTTGGGCGCACAGTGAGGCTGTGTCCAGC